TGGGTCAGTTCACAACGTATAACCCAAATGTAAACCCGGGTCTCATCACTGAGTTCGGTGTCGGCGCCTTCCGGTACAGTCACAGTCAGATTGACTCAGTTTTCCCTATATTACAAAAACTACGAGTGGATGACTCGACCATGAGGTTAAGGTTTGGTTTTAACCAGATGTCCACATTATGGGACGGGGATGTAAGTCTAACTTATGCTAAATATTATTGTAATATAGGGTGGTGGAGAAAACAAAAAACAAATGAATTATTTTTTAATTGAAAGCTATTTACATTTATTAAGTGTCAAGTGTATAAATATGAAAAGTTTCAATTCACAAAATGTGGATCTTGTTTTGTACGATCATGAAATATAAGCTAGATAGTTGATTTCATTAATGATAATTATTATGATTTTAATTACAATGAGTTTATTTTTGTTTTAAGTTAGGACAAAATTTCTATAAAAATTAAAAAATAATTTCCTTTATTTCAGTCTCAATATATAATTTATCAGACAAATACATATTATAGCCTAATATTTGTTAATAAATTACAGTTTATGAAAAATAATTATATTAATTATGAAAACTAGAAAAACGGATTAATCCGAGGCCTGTGTGAGGCCAGGGAACAGGCAACTGATCTGAGTGTAGTGCCCGACATTAGAGACTACCTGCACTTCACGCCCTGCCAGCCCCAAGTGATAGATCTTATGACTATAGACATAGGCCGGGGTCGGGATCATGGGATACCGGCCTACATATACTTCGTTGAGTACTGTTCCGGGTTAGAGGTATCGAGTTGGGACGATTTGAACCGGCTCATTGAGCCTAAGATTCTCAATAAATTAAAACAGGTATATAAGTAAGTAAAATATTACCAGTGTTAATTTATTTATTATAATTAATGTTGATTTTATAGGAGTTATAAAGATATCGATCTATTAATTGGGGGTTTGGCTGAAACCCAGTTGAGTGGCTCTAATGTGGGCCCAACCCTGGGATGTCTTATAGGCATTCAGTTTTATCATTTCAAGTTTGGTGATCGATTTTATTTTGAGCACCAGGGACAAACGGGATCTTTTCATATTGGTATGTATAGATTAAAACTGTAATTATTTTGTTAATTTATAACGTATAGTTATCAATTAAATCAATAAATAGTAATTGGATCTGGATAATATCCTTAAGAAATTAATTCAAATCTTAATTATTACTTAATTTTAAGTAACATTAAATAAATATTTTACAAACATTTTTATTTAAAAAATTTTATTTTTATAACAATTTTTAAATTAAAATATGATGATTATCTAGATAACAAAAAAATGTTATATGGCTACGACAAATTAATACACATTGATTAAACATTTTTAATTTATTAAACTTACTAATTTGTTAATTTTTAATTAGAGAAATATAACTGCAAATTATATATATATTTATATTTATTTATTAATATCACTGATACCTAGATCAATTAAATAACATCAAAGAGAGGTCGTCGTTGGCAAACCTGTTGTGCAAAACCACAGACTTCGACACAATTCAGGCGAACCCGCTGTACATCCCGTCCCCGGATACCAATCCCCGCAAACTGTGCGCCGATTTCGGGGAAATTGATTACCAGTTGTGGGCAGAAGAGGACGTTTTGAGCGATTTCTCCGAAGGTTTCCAGATTAATATCACACACAATGAAACGGACGATTTGATGAGTTTTGACGACTTATCAAGATCAAATAAAAGAAATCCATTTAAAAGATCTAAGAAAAAATATTTTATCTAAATATTTATGCAGAAGATTGTTTATTTTTTAAAACTATAAATTAAATTTATTTTATGTACTTTTTTAGTTATGTAGTATAAAATTTTATAACATTGGTTATAAATTAACCGCGATTGATTACTTGAATTTCTATGGAATAAATCTGATACAGTAGTTTAATTAAGTGACTGACTAAGTAGTTTAATTATTAGTGATTGTACCAAGTTATTATTAATACAATCTATATCTATAAAAATTTAATTATAGCAATCATTTTGGGTTAACGAAATACTACTCATTTAGGCGTAAAAATTAAATCATAATTTAATTTGAGTTTTAAAAAATTTATATAATTTAATTTAAATTTTAACATAGATGAAAATGACCTCATTTTATAGACTATACAGTATGTGTCGCATTAAGACAAACCAGGTATTTAGGATTACACTTGGCGCTTCATCTTATGAACCAGGTTGTTTTATAAAAAAGTTCATAACTTCGAGCGGTTCATAAAAACGAATGATAAATCTTAAAGTAGTTTTATTCGTACAATACTTAGAAAATGATATAATTTGACAACAAATTATTGTTTTCGTATTCAGACATTAGAGTAGTTAAAGAAATCAGTAATTTTAGATTGTTTTACACGAGAAAATGCATTAATTGTAAGCCGTTTCTGGATTTCATTGAAGTTATCATTCAATGAGTTGTCGTCGATTTGGCAGAAGTAGGTCTGCAACACATTCAATGAATCCAAAGCTTGAGAAGAAGTTATTTCTTTGGGTGATAACTCTTGTGGCGAAATATCTTCATCAGAGTCTTCCAATTCATACTCTACTGGTTTGTCATAAACGTCTTGAATAATCTCCTCATCGGTGCGAAAATTATCCATAATTTCTATGTTTTCATCGCAAGTAACATAACTTTCCAGAGATTCGTATTCAATGTTTGTCATACTTTTCAATTGCTCCCAAACAGTGGTGTCCTCATCAGTCGCCAACTCTATAGTTGTCTGCAATCGATGGCTCTCTTCAAGAGTCTGGTCTTTGAATTCAAACATTGCTTTTCGGAAACAATTTTTGATAGTATCGATGGACACACTTTTCCATGAGGTGTCTAATAGTCTCATTGCAACTAATAAATCAATGTTAGTCTTAACCCGGTTCTCGCAATTAGTGATAAATAATCCAATGAGTTGTTTGCGATAATGAGATTTAAGACTATGGATTATCCCCTGATCAAGTGGTTGACAAACAGAAGTAGTATTTGGTTTGAAGTACTTAATCGTTATGTTTGACAAATGAATGTCGACATAGTGTGCAGAAAAGTTGTCGACAAATAACAATATATTTTTGCCACTCTTTTTCAATTGTCTATTAAATGATTTCATAACCTTCTCGAAGATCTTGGAGTCCATCCATGCATTAGTCTGCGAGTGATATCTTAGTGGCAGAGATTTTACATGTTTGAAAGCTCTGGGTCTCACAGCACTCCCAATGACTATAATTTTTCGATGACTTCCATCGGCATTAGTGATGCAAACAATTGTGACTCTATTTCTGCATTTCTTGAGACCCTTTTTGGATTCGTTTCCAAAAACAAAACTTTTGTTGGGAAGCAATCGGTAGAAGAGCGCCGTTTCATCTAAATTATAGGTATCCTCTGGTTTATAGCCATCAATCAATTGATCCAATTCTTGTTTCCAGCTCTCAATCACTGATTCATTCACTGAATCAGATTCTCCGCGTTCTGTGATAAACAAAATGTTATGTCTTTTCTTGAAACCACTGAACCAGCCGTCACTTCCTTTGAAGTCATTGTAACCCATTTTGATGGCAAAATCGATGGCTTTGGTCTTTATCTGATCCGAAGGCAAACTAATCTTTTGGGCTCTCATTTGGCGCATCCATTCAACGACTGCCTCTTCAACGTCAGGATAAGAGGATATCTTCACATTCGCCGCAGTTTTGGTCAACTTTTTGCTCAAACACTCGTATTTTCTGATGATTTTGTCCTTTTCTTTCATAATTTGATTCAAATGTGATTTACTCGTGAGTTTGTGGGCACTAATGACAGCAGATCTGTCACCACTCAACTCAAACTCTTTGATTATCTCATACTTCTCCTTAAGAAGTCGTGTTTGCCTCTTATGTCCAGGAGATTCAAATGTGATTTACTCGTGAGTTTGTGGGCACTAATGACAGCAGATCTGTCACCACTCAACTCAAACTCTTTGATTATCTCATACTTCTCTTTAAGAAGTCGTGTTTGCCTCTTATGTCCAGGCATTTTGACCACAATTTAAAAATACATATAATTTATGATCACTTTTACATACACTTTATGATCACTTTACACGTGTTTGTAAAATAAGTACAGTTTTATGATTGTTTTTAAGTCACTTTCAATTTATGCGTTTTTTCTGCATTTTAGTAATAAATTGCAGTTTCTTTGAAATATTAGTTCATAAAATCCAATGCGTTTCCTATAAACTTATATTCATTTGTACCCTGAAATTGGTTCATAATATACAGCGGTTCATAAAATCAAGGTTCATAAAAACCAGCCGATTTTAACATTAGATCTATGGCAAGGGAATTTGGTTCTCAAAAATAGTTCATAACTTCCAGATGTTCATAACATCGAGGTACATAAAATGAAGCGCCAAGTGTATTACCAAAGGTCTATTAAATAATTATAGTGGGGTGTGAACTGGGGGAGTACCCTGATTAGGTTTAATGGGAAACGTGAGTATGTCTGTAAAACTACCTGTGCATTCACAGTACCGGTAGACTAGTAAATTACTGTACAAATACCTGTACTAATTTACATTGTACATTACGTTATACACTTGAAAATAACTTTTATTTAATTAATAAATTTTATAATGATAACAATTATTGGCACTAGGTAAAAGTTTAAAAACTTTATTTTCGGGCTCAACGCCCACGATGACCCGCCGGGGCGTGTGGTATATGTGTGTCCCCAACGACACCGGTATGTCTGTGCGGACGGTAGTGACCAACCGATAGTTTTTGATGATATGCGTCAAACATAACTTAGCCTCTAATAAGGCGAACCTCATTCCCACGCAATGTCGGGGCCCCGACCCGAATGGTACGTACGTGTAGTCAATCAACTTATGCCGGTTTGCGGGCAAAAAATCTTTCGGGAATAAAGGTCTCGGGATTCGGGAAGTACTGTGCATATCTTTAATTTGTTTATAAATAATAGCCGGATAATTAATTTTGTATGTATTAATTTATTTACTACTATTTGTCTGTATTATACAAACAAACATATTTTTCATTTAATAGTAAAAATTTAATAGCTTTTTATTTATCACCAAATAAATAATTTACAAAAAAAGTTTATGAAGTATGAAATAAAATCTTAATAAAACACTTAACAATTATCGCTTCTGTATGCCTACGATGACCCTAAGGGGGGCGTGTATTATGGAATTCCTGGGCAACGCCACCGGGATATCTGTATTAGTTGTTGTGATAAATTTATAATTCTTCATAATATGTGCTAATCCCAGCTTAGCCTCCATTAACGCGAACCTCATTCCCACGCAATGTCGGGGACCCCCACCAAAAGGTGTATAACTATACGGAACTATTTTATGTCTATTTTCGGGCAAAAATCTTTCGGGACTAAAGGTCTTTGGGTTCGGGAAGTACTCCTCCAAGTGATGGATCCCATGATTGGGTATTTCGATGCGTTGACCCTTTTTGATAGTAATCCCGGTGTCGCCTAACTTGTAGTCTTCGTTGGCATACCTCCAGAGTCGGACAGCCGGAGCGTGTAGTCTGAGTGTCTCGGAGATGACTGCGTCTAAAAACGGCATTTTCGTCAATACGTCGTACGAGATCTCGCCGTCAGAGTCGATGAAAGATATGACTTCTTCGTAGAGTTTGTCCTGTTTTTCGGGATTCAGTGCCAACTCGTGGGCGGCGAACGACAGGGTGTTGGCTGTGCTCTCATACCCAGCCGTATAAAACAGCCAACAGTTGGACAGTATCTCGTCTTCAGTCATATATTTCTTGATATTTGCGAATAACTTCTTCTCGACCGACGTATCGTCCGAACCTGAGGTACAAGACATGAAAATTAGGGATCAATTGTTAATAAGACATAAAGAGATAATAAATTATAAAGCATTTAAAATAATGTTAAAATAAATCTCAATAACTATTATTAATACCGAGTATAACATGATGTGATTCATTGACATCCGACTCATCCCTGGTTTCGCCGGACTTTTGCTCCTTTTCTGCGTTCAATAATAAGTCAATCAAATCGTTGTGTTTCTCTTGACTCCTCTTTCGCTCATCAATGATATGTCGGATCAGATCGACGAAGAACTTAATGGAGTCCTCCTCAGCATTATGTGTGGTATTAAACAACTCTAACACCCATTTCGGCAAAACCATAAGCGCTAGAAATCTATATAACTTGGGATTAAAGGGTTTCTTCGCCTGTTTGACGATAGGATTGTCCGGATTTTTCTGGGCATTGATTTTGGTGGCGAACGCGCACATGGATATCACGTCAATGGTATAGTTGCTGAACAACCTCTTCATGTCGACCTCGAGACCGGTGGCCGCGTAGGTCTGCATGACATCCAGCAATTCGGTGACACATTCCCGGATCAATGGATACATTATGAAGTTTGCCTAGATGGTATTTGAATTATTTTGAATATTTATAACATGAAGATTTATATTACCTTTCTTAAATAAACGGAGGGCATCGGCATCTGGTTTATAAAACCCATACACCAGTGATAAGTCGAGGTATGATGTAGGTGCGTTCATTTGTTGACGAGCACCTGTAAGCGGATAAAAAATATCTTGATGACTATTTGAGCTAATTCTTATAAATTTTTAAGTATTTACAACAATAATTTTTAGCACATACCTTAAAGTATACAGTTTTAATGAAATTAATAATAAATAAATATGCACCTACCTAACCTACACGTATTGCACCCAGTTGATCTAGAAAAACTCATACACGTTTGATTGAAAGCACGTAATAGCCTATCGGAGGGAACGGGATTCACGTNTCTTATAAATTTTTAAGTATTTACAACAATAATTTTTAGCACATACCTTAAAGTATACAGTTTTAATGAAATTAATAATAAATAAATATGCACCTACCTAACCTACACGTATTGCACCCAGTTGATCTAGAAAAACTCATACACGTTTGATTGAAAGCACGTAATAGCCTATCGGAGGGAACGGGATTCACGTGAACGCACTCCTGAGGTTCGGGTCCACTATTGGGACAACAGTTCAGTGCAGTCCCGAAATATTGTAACGTTTTGAGGGAGTCGTGTGCTATCACTTGACCCCATATCATATGCATAGACGTGCGCACCGGGTTGTATAGGGGCGGCCCACGAGCCAACACGTCGCTTATGTACCTCGCATTAGGTAGGGGCCCGCCATCCTGGGCTAGACGTACTTTATTGACCCCATCGGCGTAGTCAGCCGGCAGTAGGCGGCGCTGACAGTGAAAAGCTGAGCCCCAATTGGTTTCCCGCAGATTATTACACTTCCCGTCGATGCGCCGGTATTTTGTGTATGGGTTGCACTTTAACAGTGGGTTAGCCTCCAGTTCCATATCACAGAACAGGTCGTTGTCTGCCACTTGAGGCGGTGCCGTTAGGTACTCCAAATTGATCTCGGTCTCCAGTTTATTGAGACATTTACTAGATTTTTAATTATAAGGGTTTTAATGTTGTAATTAAAGAAAGTTATTATTAATATTATTCTCTCATTTATTACTATTATTTTGTTACATGAATAACTTGCCTGATCATTAATGAATTATATCTGCTTTTAATTTAAATAAAGTATTCAAAACTCTAGCTTGCTATAAAATTTTATATTCTAATATTTAGAGCATACATTAACAAAAATTTTGAACTACAGCAATTACTAATGTAATAGGTATTACAGTAGTAAGTGGGCTCTGTAGCCCATAATGTTAATCTATGATTTAGATAATTTAAAATCATTATTTGAATTAACTCAACAAGTACCCTGAAACTAATTTCTATAATAAAATTGTTAACCAAAATACTATTAACCGTAATAATATATAAATACTATTAATAAATACTCTATATAATAATTTATAAGTTTTAATATTTTTGGTTTGTTTTAATATTACTTATTTTTTGCTTACATTTCTGACAACGCCTGCGACACGTATTCATTGAAAATAGCCTTTAAATCCGCTTCATATATAAAATGACTGAAATTTTTAACACCCGGGTTAGCCTGTATGTAGGCGTTATCCGCTGCAACGTATGCATCCATCTTAACTGTAGCTTCTCTAAGGGCTTCCCTTACGTCCCGTTCCGTAATATCGGATACCTTTCCGTTTTGGTCGGCACAGTGTTTAAGGTATGGATTCTTTTGCAGGTACTGTACGTACACTTCCCTCCATTCCTGGGAGTATTCCCTTTGAAAGTCAAACTTTCCAATCGGGTGTGTTAGCAGTCCGTGTATAATACCTGGGTATTCATCGTAAAACAGGGTTAAGTCAACTTATTTTATTTTTTTAAATTGGCAATTACAAACTGTATATTATATAGAAATTATTACAATATTTATTAATTTAAATTAATATTTTATTTATGGAATCAAGGCGTAGATAGATTATAATTTTACCTTATTATAATTTTATAAGTGTTATACAAATAATTTAATATTTGTATGATACTTTAATATTTTTGATAACAAAACTTTTGTTATAATATATAAAAGTTATGGGGTTAACCAGTTATTAGGTTATATTTGAGCATAGTATGAATGTCTAAACCATACAGTTTTACAAGATAAAATATAATAACATATTAAATAAATATTATGTATAAATTTTCTTTACCTGGATAGTTATTATGTAAATTGTCATAGCATACTATGTATTTATAGTAAATTAAGCACAACAAGAATGTTTCAAATAATCTAATACTAAATGGTGTATTTGCATTAAACATTTCAAAAATAAATTGCATTCACAAATTTCTAGCCAAAAATATGTTTAAAAAATTATGTTTTATATTTATAGAATATTTCAAAGTTTTTATGTTTAATATAAAAAATAAAACAAAAATACATCTGTAATATTTTCTAATCAATAATAATTAAGGTAATTATATCATTGATCAAAATAATAATGTAAAATATCGAATCCCCTAGACACATGTTAAAATAAATATATTTTGGAAAAATACCTGTTTCCTTGTGGGGTAACCAAGACTATTAATCATGAAAAATACATTAAAATTCATAGGTTGTTATAAATAATATTCATAACTAGCTAAGAAATGTAGAAGAATTATTTTAAATTACTTATAATTTATCTTACTAATACAAATTAAAAATTTTTGATTTAAAGCATGTTTTTTTAACTGTATAACCCAGCGCATTTTGTGCATAGCAAAAATACATCATTTTGAACGTTTAATGACAGTTTATGTAATATAATGTGTTAAGGACTCTTTTAAAAGGAGCAAAATAATTTACAAAGTACATATACCTCGATAATAATTATATAAAATAGTTTATTATATGTAATATATGAAACATTAAAGCAAACCTTATACTGTATAATATATGTTAAGGACTCTTTTAAAAGGAGCAAAATAATTTACAAAGTACATATACCTCGATAATAATTATATAAAATAGTTTATTATATGTAATATATGAAACATTAAAGCAAACCTTATACTGTATAATATTAAGGGATACTGTTAAAAATAAATTTGTATATGGTACTTTACAAATAAGAATTTAAAAAGCATTTTATTCATAACTACACTTGGCGCTTCATTTTATGTACCTCGATGTTATGAACATCTGGAAGTTATGAACTATTTTTGAGAACCATATTCACTTGCCATAGATCTAATGTTAAAATCGGCTGGTTTTTATGAACCTTGA